CCTTACCAAAAAAAAAAAAAAAAAGAAAGAAAGAAAAGGAAAAGAAAAGAAAAAATGTAAAAAGAAAACCAGGAAGACAGGACCAGAAGCATTGGGATTCTTTCTCAAGCAATTGTGGATTCATTCTGTTTTTCCCTTAGTTATTGGGCTCCTGTATGTTTCTGACACCATGCTGGGCACTGTGCCAGGTTCGGTGATGTAGGTGACTTGGTCCCAGTCTTTGAAGAATTTAAGGTTTAGAGGGGAAAACAACACACCTTTACGCACTGAGAAGGCGCTCTGAGCTTGACGATCAAAGCGAAAGGAGCAGGTAGAGGAGAGGCATCCAGAAGCTTCCCTGACAGTGGGCGGGGCAGCTTGTGGTCAGGGCCTGGAAGGAGCAATTTCAGATGTGTGTGAGGCACGAGAAGAACAAGGAAAGCAAAGCCAAAAGGCAGAGTATGTAAATCAGAGTAAGGAAGCGGACAGCTTAAATTTTGGCATGCAATATGCAAAGATGATTGATAGGAAATGATGTTGGAAATCCAATGTTTGAGCATGGGAAGGGGCTCCAACAACAAGCTAAAGAGGTAAGGACTTAAACTGGGAGTGGTGAAATCATACAGCTTCGTCAGAAGTTTCACTTTATATTGGAAACGTGTCAGTCTCCAACGTTCATGAAAACTTCAGAGTAATAGATTGCACACTGCACACCACTAGCGTCTCCTTGTACCACACACACTGACGTCTGCAAATGTAATGGCTCAGGGAGAAAATGCATGCTGGGAAGAGCAGATGGCTGTCCCAGGGCTCCCCAGCCAGTGTGCCCCGATATTTTCTGTGCTCTGAGATTGGATCACTGGTCTCAGGTGCAGCCTGGAGCAGTGGGAGATGGCACTGGTCACTTTTGCTAGGAGCACCCTCTTTGTGGTCTCCTGCAATTTTTTTTTCAATTTACACTAGCAGGCAGACCACCAGCAGCTGCTATTTGAACCATAGGGAGCCTTGTTCCTGGGCCTGTCACCTGTGCTATCTCATGGAGCTGTTACCAGGAGGACCCCAGCTGGACTCAATGTTGTGTTACTGCTACACTGAATTCTTCGTACTTTTTGAACAAGAGCACCCAGGTTGACATCTTGTTCTGGGCTCTGCCAATCATACAGCCAGCCCTGAAAATGAAAATGACATGAAACTGGTTGGGAAACAACGATTACACTGTGGGCAGAATGCATTGTCATATGTGTCTACGTAAACATACAAAATTGTCTCCCACAATGCATTGTGAAGTTGGGAGACCAACACTGTGCTTATGTAACAGAACAGATTCTGAGCTTAAATCTTTAGTGTTTCTTCTTCAAAGCCATGACTTCCATGGCTGCCGCAGGCCTAAGATAAATTTAATTTTATAGCCTCATGGTTTTCTAGATGATAAATTAAGGAAACACTTCTGTAACATATTTTCTCATTATAATCTCAGCCTCCTGTAGCCTGGATACCAGTATCATTGCGCTCTGCACCCCTGAAGTCCTATCAAATTAAATTCTGAGAAAACCATTTGCCATTATTTTCCCTAATAAAAGTTCTGAAAAATATAGCACTGCGTTAGAAACATTGCCAGCTGTTATTGTCTGCCCGATAGAATCATTCCCCTGTGTATTTCCTGTGCCCGGTCAGTGAAGATAGATAAACTGAGTAAGTTTTTTAAAGTGATTTTCCTAAACACAGTATATGGTCTCCTCTTTACTTGGTGAACATTTGTGTGTTTCTCTTTTACTTACATTATCATAATTGCTTTCTCTCCTTATTCTTATTTAATTTTCATTTTTCAATGTTATAGATGAATGTAGTTCATTTGAATAGTTGAATATCTCAAGGAGGCCTAATTTGTAAAACTCCCCCCTTCTCGAGACTGCACTCTCTCTGTATCTCCACTTCCCTCTCTATCTCCTCAGGGCAAACACGTCATTAATATCTGTAGCTGTTAACCTACTTTTTACATTTACCTCCTTGAGTTTATTTCACCTTCCTTCAGTTTCAGCCTCCATTATATTGACTGACCACTCTGAAAGAGAAAGATGTGACTTTCATACGTCTCTATGTGGACCATGGCCTGATCTATGCCCCTTTTCTTTTTTTTTCCAAAAGAAAACAAAAACAAAACCAAAAACTTTATTTTTGTTAATCAGCAGTTATATTCTTATGATTATGTAAATAGTTACATTGGTGATTACATTTCTTTCTTGAATAATTTTGGTCCCTTTAAGATCTTAATTGTCTCACTTAAGACATTTCTCATCTTTCTGTCTGTCTGTCTAGAAACTCCTCAGGTCCTCTTACCATCAGCGTTCTCTCACTGTGCTAGCGTTCATCTGAGACTCCCGGTGATTGTGTCTTCCTGGACCACTCTCCTGAGCCCGCTCTCCTTTCATCTGCTCTAGTCTGAGGCACAGGGGCCATCTGAGAACTGCCCTGGGCTGAAATGGGCTGTTTAAAATGGCAAAATTGAGTCGACGTTCAGTACATGGGTGGGATTTATTGACTGATGGATTTCAATGCAGGATGTCTTGGGTGAGTTGTTTTACTGATAGACCTGATTTTAAGTATTTTCAGATATTTTCTATGGATCTTATCATGTCTTTTACAAGTGAATCTTCTATTGCCCTACCTAGAAGGGAGGGTTCTGGGCAGCATGAAAGTGAAACCTCTGAAGAGTGTCCACAGTCACACACCATCTTGTGTTAAGTAGCTGTGCTTCTGAGTATCTGACGCCTCCCTTTCCAGGGCCTTGCTTTAAGTTTCCTGCTGGAATGAGGCAGGAACAGGTACCCGTATTGTCTGGGTATGTGAGTTCTCAGGGGAAAAGACCCCTTCACAATGAGAATTTCATCAAATCCTCCTATTTCCAGCTTCATATTCAGCCCTACCTCGATAGCTAGCTGAGTTAGGAGTGGAGGGACCAGGTGTCAGGTCCCCTTGTCCGCAGGTTCTTGGTTCCCAGTACCCAAGAACAGTTACTGGTACGGAGTCACCGGGACCAATGAGCAGAGCAGGCTGGTGCAAGTGGGCAGAGTGCCAAAGTTTCATTAAAGATTAGAGAGTAGAACATTCCATGGAAGGAATGGGTCAGCCCTGGGAATGGGGGAGACACCGAGTTTAACAAGATGACTCCTTTACTGCTGACTCCCTAATTTTATGTTAAGTGGGGAGTGGAATATTTATGGTTTTTCTTGGAAAGGGAACCCTCCCCTTTTTTTCCATTATAAGGCAATCCCCAAGGTTGTCATGTGTTTGTAAACGACCGTGGCACTGGTGGGTGTGATTTTTAGTATGTTAATGAGGATAGTTCCTTAGGGACACTGTTACCTCACCTGTGCACATGCTCCAGCCACCCTCTGTTGAAGCCCTGACAATATTTCCACTTGTGGTTTCTCTGCCTCTTTCTGATTGGTCAGTTCTTGGAGACCCCTTTGACAAGTCATCTATTCTTTCTTGGGAGCCCCCCCTAAGGTCCTAATCAGGCTGTTCTCTAAATAGCACAAGTCAGTTTGACCACATCTGTCTGTCCACGCCAGAAAGTTCCTGGGACATTGACAAGCGCCCCCCCCTCCCCAAACCACCTGCCAGGTCCCTATCCACCCTATGCCATAACTACGCAGGCCAGCCTGACCCCATCCAGTCCAAAACAGCACCCACTGCCCACCACACTCCGTCTGACTAGCTCCTGACCTAACAGCTGGTCCTGGGCTGTCTGGGCCTGTCTAGGTTCTGGGGCACAAACCGCGCTGCCTTCCTTCCAGTTTCCTTGCTGTGGTCTTAGGTTTCACTTTCCTCGGGGCCTGCTTCTCCGCTGAAATTTACTTCTCTGCTTTGAATCTCTAGAATCCTTATTTTTTATCTATCTCTTGGCTCTTGTGCATATATGCTTTTCAATTCCTTTGTTGCCGTTTTAGTGGAGTTTGGGGGGCAGTGAAGGTACTGCGTGTGCACAGTCTGCCATCTTTAGCTGGGGATGTAACTGTATTGGGACTAAATTCTTACGAAGCACATCAAATCATTTTTATTAAACAGTGTACAACTGAGGAACAAATAAACAAGCGAATGAGTATAACCTGCTGCTCAAATACTTATTACAGGGAGCTTCTCTTTGAGTGTTTGAAATGTCTATTTACTAAGGATTCTGTTCCTCTCACTTCCAAACACAGATGGAAGCTTCAGACAAAGCCGCTGGAACCTCACCCCTCTGTTGGTGCAGCCAGTCTCTGCATCCCTTGTTGCAAAGCTCATCTCTTCAGGGAAAGCCAGAACCCAAAATGATGTCTGCAGCCCTCTAGAGCTCCCAAACAATGGTAAAGTATTTAATGTCTTTCTGTGAGTCTTATGGTGTTTGACAAGACCATGATCATTTTTAATCTTTCAATACCACATGTTTAAAATTTTTCTTTTCAAAACCATTGACTTTCAAAGAGGCCACAATTTATTCTCTTCTGCAGCTCCGTAGTGATATCTTTGGAAGGAAATCTTAAAGACTGAGAGTTGACCAAATGAGACATTTAAAAAAAGAAAGAAAAAAAGTGAATGAAAGAAAAGAAAAGCAGTATGAACTGCTACGAAGAAAAGTGGCTTGAGGAATAAAGCATTTTGTACATTCAGGACAACCTGCTAACCAGCCTCCTGGTTTCAGCTTCAGGAATGGCGTTGCCTGCCAAGCTATCCGTGGTGAGAAGTCCTTTAGCGGAAAGCATTGACACCTGGTTCCTCAGCTGACTAAAAACATCCCTTTGTCTATACTAAGCTTCTGGGCTGCAGCAGTGTGCTGCCTGCGGGGATGAAAGGTGGGCGCTTCCCTCCCACCTCCAGACTCCCAGACTCAGCCCTGGGTTCTACAGAAGAGACCTGCCTTGTGTTAAATGTACGTCTAGTCATGGGAACTACTACTGGAGGGCTCAACTAGCCATGTTTTATTGCATCTGTATTTCTCTTGACAACAAAGCAGACTAAAAATATATTTTGAAGAAGTCTTAAAAAATTTCTGACTACACTCAGGAGTGCTCTGTTAAGACACATCTGCTTTTCAAAATTCTACAGATTGGGAGTCCCCTGAACTGCTTAACCAAGACAAGCCAGTGTCCTCAAAGTGGGAAGGAGGAGCCATGAGCAGCCTTTTGCTTTGCTTTTTCTGTCATTTATTCAGAGCCCTGCAAAGTAATAGTGGGCTCTGCATGTTAAAATACATACACAGCATCCCAGGATTACTTTAGTTGTAAGAAAGCATTGGACTTGTAATAGACCATATTTAAGCCCAAATTTGATCAGTTAACTTGCTGGATAAATATTTTGAGTTCCTAATGCAGTCCAACAACCATCCAGCTTGCAGCAAGTCAGTGGTCTCCCTGTGGCTCCAGAACCCCTCGGATACTTCCTACCCATGGGAAGCCTCTTTTTCCTGCATCTACAAAAGATAACTGTCCCTTTGTCATCTCAAGGATTTATATCAGTACTTTTATATACTGTAAAATGTTAACATGAATATTCCTGAGTATCTTCTTTGTCAAATAGCTGCATCAATTTCCCTCCCTATATGCAGAATAATGTCTTAGCAAAACAAAACTTAGCAAAAGGAAACTCTCCAGCTATATACCTCCATAAAAAAATTATCACATAGGGAGAACGGATATCCACGTGTAAAAGACTGAAACTGGACCCACACCTTTCTCCACTGACAAAAATTGATTCAAGTGGATAAAAGATCTAAATCTAAAGCATGAAACAATAAAAATCCTCAAAGACAGTGTGGGGAAAACACTTGATGATATCTGCCTGGGGAAAGATTTTAGAAAGAAGACTTTCATGGCAATTGCAACAACAACAAAAATAAACAATGGGACTTAATTAAATTGAAAAGCTTCTGTACAGCTAAGGAGACAACACCAAAGCAAATGGACAACCTACACAATGGGAAAGGATATTTTCATATTATGAATCAGTCAAAAGCTTGATAACTAGGATCTACAGAGAACTAAAATTAATCAACATAAAAGAGCCAACAATTGTCACTGGGCAAGAGGAATAATAGAACCTTCTCTAAAGAAGACAGGTAAATGTCTAACAAGCATATGAAAAAGTGCTTATCATCCCGAGTCACCAGAGAAGTGCAAATCAAAACCACCCTGAGATATCACCTAACCCAAGTGAGAACATTCCACATCACAAAATCTCAAAGCTGCAGATGCTGGTGTGGATGGTGAATGTGGTGAGACTGGAACAGTTTTACACTGCTGGTGGGACTGCAAACTAATACAACTTTTTGGAGGGAAGTATGGAGAATCCTCAAAGAACTCAAACTAGACCTCCCATTTGATCCTGTAATCCCATTACTGGGCATCTACCCAGAAGAAAAAAATCATTTTATCATAAGGACATTTGCACTAGACTATTTATCACAGTTCAATTTACAATTGCCAAAATGTGGAAACAGCCTAAATGCTCACCAACCCAGGAATGGATTAACAAGCTGTGGTATATGCATACCATGGAATACTCTTCAGCCATTAAAAGAGATGGAGACTATATCTTTTGTATTAAACTGGATGGAGGTGGAACACATTATTCTTAGTAAAGCCTTACAAGAATAGAGAAGCAAGAATCCTATGTACTCAATTATGATATGAGGATAATTGATGACCTAATACATGGTGGGAAGAAGGAAAAAGGGTACAGGGAGAGGGAAGGAGGTGGGGGCTCATGGGGTGTCACATGCTTCTTGGAGACAGGACACAATTATAAGAGAAACTTTACCTAACAAATACAATCAGTGTAACCTGGTCCTTTGTACCCTTAATGAATCCCCCAAAATAAGTAAAGAAAAATTAAGATGTTATAAAACCTAGATGAAACCTGTTTGCAGCTACAGTGTTTAAGAAGCAAAGAAATAGGCTTGTTTGTAAGGAATTATGTCATAGCAAGTTTTTTCATGAATATAGTAATTATTATGTTGAAAAATCCAGACAGATGTATTGAAATTACTAAGAAGACATGTTATGTTATAGTAAATTCTTTACTTAAAAAAATAAAGACTATTACATTTAGGTTTCCCAGTGATCAATTGAGAGTCTCAGTGAGTAGTCAAGCAACTCTTACATGTATGGTAATGACCCTTTCCCCTAATGTTTTGAACAATAATACTTATAATTCACTTATGATAATTAACTTTTAGGCTTTCTTATAAACACTTAAAAATGCATTAGTTGCACGTATATCAGGGCAGAAAGTAAAAAGCATACAGAATGAGATCCCATACTTCAGTCAATAAAAGTAGTGCTGATAATACATGAATAAAAAAAAATTTTAGGCATATTAAATGGTATCTTACTGTAGAATTTTCCTAGTCTTTAACTTTAGTATAGGAAAATTTTTATCAAACAAGTCCAGACAAGAGTTCATTAAGAATATGTGTGCAAATAAACTAATTGTTTATCTTACTCATTTGACCCTGTGAATTCTGGGAATTAGAATTCTCTAAAAACCAGACAAGAATGTAAAAATCTGTGGCTACTAAAAATTTAGAGAGTACATTTTATGCCTGTAGTTCTAAAGTTAGTCAAAGTACAGAAATTGAGTCTTGGTCCTCTTTGGTCAGACCTGAATCATCCTTGAACCAGTCTCACAATGTGGTTGATGTAATACGTCAATAGGTTTGAGTCAAACACAATCTATTTGTAGGGCTTGGGATGTGGTCAAACCTACTTATAAATATTGCTGAGAAATATTAGCAACAGTTCAAAAAGGGGAAGGGTCAACATGAATTCTATAAAAGCAAGTGTGTTTCAAAGATGATACAAGTCTGGCCAAACAGGAAAAAGACTCAAGTTTTAAATTCTGAGCAATGACTGTCTTTCACTCTAGAGATGAACAGAAAAGCATGTGGGTCTTGCATCTGTACCTGATGATGAAGCCAGTGGAGGAAGGGTTGGGCAAGTAAAGGGATAAGATAGAGATAGAAGAAGAGAGAGAGAGACCCTTGTCCACATCGTTTGAGCCCTGCACAATGCCTTATCTGAAGCCAAATGGAATGAACTGTCTGTATATGAGCCAATATATTGCTGCTTTTCTTTCAGCCAACTTTGTGTTTAGCTTTCAGTTATTCGTAATCAAAAACTATCTAACTTGTAAATTTATAAACTAAACAAAGGAATTAAATATCTGCATTCATGAAACAAGCTCAGTAAAGTGAATTGATGAGCAGAACATTCTAAGGAGAGCCCTGAGAGAACTAAAAATTGTGTGAGGATGGGAAAAGGCCCAGGCAAAGAGGGCGGCCTCCGCTGATAGACTGCGGGGAAAGGCCCAGGCAAAGAGGGCGGCCTCCGCTGATAGACTGCGGGGAAAGGCCCAGGCAAAGAGGGTGACCTCCACGGTAGATTGCTTGCCTGCTTAGCTTACTTGATAACTAAATCCATTTTATTTTTCAATGGTCTTCCTCTTTTTAGGTCTTAACCATTGATTGAATTTAATGTCAATCTTGGTCCTTGAGGTTCAATTGAACATAGAAATCTGCATTTTCAAATTTCAATCTGAATTTATGGTTAAAATTCATAAATATAATGGAAAAAGGAGAGGAGAAACTGTAAAAGTCATTAATATAATTTATATTTAATTTATATAAGTCATTATTTATAATTTGTTAATTAAATAATTAATATAATTTATATATTTTACAGTAAAACATATAAATGAATCAAGTTAAAAAGAAACATTTTAATATGTTTGGTGAATTAGTTATTTGGGGAAAATGGATATTTCTATGTTTCACAAAATTTATTATAAAAATGACAAGTTTTTATTTAAGTAAACTTGGAATATGTCTCTTCAAAAGGATGTACTACATGTTGTTTATTTCCTTATTGAAAATTGTATATATTCTCTGAAGAAATTTGACTTGTTAGAATGATTAATTTCTAACTGATAACATTATTTGAAATTTTTACATTTTTCAACTGTATTTTGAAGACTCACCTTTCTTATTTTTAGTAGCCGCTTGAAACAATTCATTATTATAATAGCATTTCTTGAATAGAAATTAAAAAATACATACTGAACATATTATTCACAAAGTGTGGTCATACAAAAATTTATTGACAAATAGTTCATTACAGCTTTTGAAGAAATTTAAATATGCTCTAATAAGAAATGTTAGTGCAGTTGAGTTCACCATTACTCTCTGTTACTGACGAATTTCATTAATCTGCTCAGAGGAGGCACAGGTTGTCCCATGTGAGCAGATGCAGGAGCGCGTTAGGCTATTGGGTCAAGAGAATCTTGAGTTTATCTCTGTCCGCATGCCTGTCTG